AGCGCCGTAACACACTGAATCCGAAGACCGGGACATCAATCTTACGCTGTTGCAAAATCAATATGAATGTCTTAAGGTGAAATGAAAAGGGCTGATGACAGGCAGGCGCATATTTGCATATGATTCAGTGGAAAGGGTAACATGCTGACGGCAGGTTAGCAGGTTGTGCCTGTGCTAAATGTGGTTAGGGTTGCTGCGGTCAATATGTCAGTGTAACCTGACTAACCCTACATACTGTGCATTAAGACTTAATTTTTCTAGATCCAAATACTACCAGACTGCACTGTTCCTAAGACCACATTTGTTCACTGTTCTTGTTTACGACCAGAGTGACATCAGATGTGTCCATGCCCACAGCTAATGGCGTGCGGCTGCTTTGCCGTTTGAGCACAACATTCAGCCGGCATCAAGGGCCAACATGTGAAAATATTAATAATTTAACTTACTAGTAATTCTAGTGATGACATTTTACTGTTTAGACAACTAAACATGCACATCCCTACAACTAAGATGTCCGAGTGGTCTGAGCCGTGGCAATCATTTCTGAATTTTTATTCTTTTATTATTGTGCTCTTTGAATATTTAATCTGGGCTTTGCCTCATTTGTTTACTTTCTTGTTTCACCATGTAACTTCTGTCAGAGGCCCCACGACCTCTCTCATTGAGCTGTGTGCATGATAAAGTTTGTTACTGTAAATAAATACACCATACGATGCTCTTTTGGTGAAGATTCCATAACAACAAAATGTTGAAAAAGAGCATGATTATGTAATGCAGTTAATTTGATTACGGTTATGCGTATGTACTTTATGCTTGGGTAAGTATGAGTACCAGTTTTCATTTGAGAAAAATAACAATTGTAAAAAGTTATTGTCTTTTCCAATCAGGCTCTTATTCAGTTGTGTGTTTTCTTTAAAAAACTTAAGGAAGAAGAAAAGCGGCAGCAGGAGTTACTTGCCAAGAAGAAGGCAGAGGAGGAACAGCAAGCTCGTAAGCTGGCTGAAGCTCGCAGAGCATTGGAGCTGAAGAGAGAGCAGGAGCGCGAGAGGGAGAGAGAGCTGGAGAGAGAGCGACAAGCTGCTGCTGAAAGGTCAGTGATAAGGACCTTTTAAAAAACACTAATCACCAATAGATGTTTACATTTTCACCATGTTTTAGACATGAAGACAATAAAGGGGGTTGAACTTCCTTTGGTGCTTATTTTACTGACTTGATGACTTTTTTTTCAGGGAGCGGGTGGAAAAAGAAAAAGCTCTAGCTCTGCATCGAGAACTGGAGAGAGCTGCAAGAGAGAAAGAAAGGAGAGAACTGGAGGAGAAGAGAAAGGCGCTGGAGGAGAAGAGAAAACTGGTAGGCTATCACGAATCAACATTTGAATCCCTGCAATTTAAGAAGAAGCCACATCATGTCAGGCTATTAAGTTTGAAAATTGTGCTTCCAATAGTCACATAAGAGATCTTCAAGGAGAGCAGAATCACCCACAGAAGTCTTCAGTTCTCCAAAATAACAGCAAAACACTGAATCAAGTGGTTTCTCATTAAATGTCTCCAGCATTCCTCTTTGGTAGATATTGAATATGAGGAGGATTGTCCTTGCAGTATCATCATTGATGTGAGATTTTGACATTGAGCTGATTTATTCCCAGATGACTAAACCTCTTCAAAAACCCAACACCTAGTACAAAAACCACTAAGAGCACTGACTAAAGCAGTTTCAAGATTCAGCTCATGGTTTCTCAGACACTCTTCTAGTCTGCTTTAATGAAACAGGGAACAAATAGTCCAAGGTTCGTATTGAACAGCAAAATCTGATTATACAGATAGAATAATGAGTCGGGCCCAGCCTACCTTTGATCAGCATGTTAACAACACAACTCTGTGGATACATGGCCCACCAATATTCCAATGTTTGTCTTCAGACTTTTATGACAGCTTTGGGTTGGTTATCTTGGCTGTTCTGTTGTTCATGCGTCTTTGTTCCATTAGGAGGAGCAGCTGAGAAAAGTAGCTGAGGAGAATGCTGCGAGAGAAGCTGCGAGGCAGAGAGAAGCTGCTGCCAAACAGGCTGCTGAGTCCAAGGTGAACTATAAGATGGAGACTCTGCTCAAGTACACATTCACGGTTGCAGACAAGTGAGAGTTGATCCAAAGTTTAATAATTCTCAATTTAACCTCATCAAGCAATGCAAATAAAGTGTTTTTGTAGTTTTATAATCCAGATTTGCTCTTCAACACATTTTGAATTAATCCCTATAAAATTACTCTTCTCTGTATATTATAAATAAATATAATCTTCAGTGTCCAAAGTTAGCCAATGCCAAATGCCGGTAGAAATAAATATTAGTGAGGGGAAAAAATGAGGTTGAGCGCTGTTGTCAGGTGCCTCTATCAGAACAAAACACACTGTAAATTAATGACCATTTTGCAACGACTGCCTTTTGCTGACCCTCACTGTATTTGCTTGGTCAGGCCTTCAAGAGCTCAGTCATCTTATTTGGGGGAAAAAAGTAGCAATATCAAAGCATTGAAATACTATGCTACATTAAAGTCCAAATAATCGCCCAAATAATAAAACTTCAAAAGTTCCAATTATTAGAATCAAAATGTTCTTTGTCTAATAAGTAAGAAGTATTGATGAATAACTCTACATCACTTGTTGCAGCTTCTAAATGTGGAGCCAAGTTTACAAACTCAGTACTGGTTGCTTCTAAGCATAAGCTAATTAGAGTTTATTGCAAAGCCATTGAATCTACAAACAGAGGTACAATCACCTCCTATGTGATGTAGTGGTTCAAATATCAAAGACAGCTTTTTTTTTAAATTATTATTACATTTTCTGTCATATATTTAATATGAAAAATGTACCCTTCTAAATGGAGACTTTCTGCAAATAAAAAAAAATCCATGTTTGTACCCACATTCAGAGTGATAACACTCCATTCTTGAAACTAGAAATACATAATTAACATATAATATCCTGAAGTTATACTGTCAATTCACACTCACTTCTGAAGTAAGTTTGAACATTTTACATTTTAGAACTTGATAACTGCTATAAACTGACAACCAAATATCTCCCTCTCTCTCTTTCTCCTCCTCGCTGCTTTGCAGACTGCCATGAATGTCACTGTGGATATTGAGGTAAGAAACGAAAAGATATTCTGTAAATATTATTTTTACATTTGGTCATTTATTTGATGGGTAAACATGTTTTTTTTTTTTTGTATAAGCGTCTTTTTATTTTTTTGTCCACCCCTTGAATTGTTAAATAGTGTACACCATGTGTATCTTTGTGTGCATACAGGAGAGAAACACTTCTTGAGAAACAGCTCGAAAGTATCACTTGAGGTCTAAGCTCCTCACAGAATCACTAATGACCCTTTTTTTTTTTTTCCTTTGCAGCGCTCTGTAATGACCACACCTGTAGGAAAGGGCTGTGGCCTGAATGTGACGGTTGATATTGTGGTAAATTTACTTAATGCAATCAAAAAGAAACAAAATGTTACTGCTTCAGTCTTTAAATGTGATATTCTAATCCGAGTCTTAATACCATGTGTTATTTTTCTCTTCAGAACTCACCACAGTCCTACGCCATCACTCCAAAGGGGGGGAACAAACCTTTGACCATGTCAAAAAGTACAGAGGATTACGGAATGGATCAAAACAGTGACGACTCTACTGATGATGAGTCTGCCCCGAGGAAACCTATTCCATCCTGGGCAGAAGGTTAATATCATTTTACTTCTATTATCCTTTATTATGAAGTATGATCCTGTTGGAGGAAATCTGCTTTAGTGTTGTTCAGAATCTCAGCAAGATGTCACTCATGTTTTGTGATCTTAAATTAAAGCATAGTATTTTATTCTTTTCCTCCCAGGTCAAAACTTGCAGAAAACAATAATGAAGCAGTACTTCAACCCTCTGAATTTGGACTCTTTCTTCGGAGCTATTGAACCACCAAAACTGGAAAACATCTTTTACAAGAGCAAGCCGCGGTATTATAAACGCACCAGCTCTGCTGTGTGGCACTCTCCTCCAATTGGAACCAAATAATGTCTGTACACTGATACAGATGACATTGCTGTACAAATTTGTATGTTTAGTTTTTAAGTCTGTTTTAAATAAAGCAACCACTTCCTTTTCTTATGTTTTTTTTCCAATGTTAAATCTGTCTTCTTCGGGTATTTTAGGAATGTTGTTACTAGAATGTAAGATGTAATGGGTTTTACGTGATACACAAGTGAAGAGATCAATGCTTCATTCTTGTACTTGAAAATGGGTATGTGGGATGTGAAGTCTATCCTGTTTGATAAGTCAACATTTTAATTTGTATCATGTATGTACTGACTGTGTGTGTGTGATAGAATTCCCATGTTTGGGATTTATTCAAGTGCATTAAATGGTTGGATCTGCCAAATATTGAGTAGTTTGTAGCTTAGGTATGCCTTATTACACTTTTTGTCCAGAAGGAAAATGGTTGTTTGAACTCTGATGGTAGTTAATCTGGGTCCATTGAGCACTCCATGAGCTAGTAAAATGAAAGTTGAAGTTCAAACGAGAAGATGTAACCTGCATGATAAGTAGAACCGGATAAGGGTCTGAGTTTAACCATTCGTCCAGTTCCATTTAGCTGTATCAGCACACAAGGCTGCATGCATGATACCTTGTTACCATATGAAGCCTTATTTACACTTGTGCTTTTCGACATGACACCAAAATGTACTAAATACTCCCTTCACTGGTTGTACTAAATGTAAATACTGATGCCTTTAAAAGAAAGGAACAAATCTCAAATGCATTAGGTGGTTAGAATGGCTTGTAAAGTTATTATAAATGAAGACTCCACCTATCGTGTTAAACAAGGACCCAAAAGCAGGTTTAAAGTTTAAACTAGGTGAGGTCAAGATAATGTGATATAAAAAAGAAAAAATGCAAGGCGTGGACCTCAAACGACCAAATGAGGTCATGCTGTTTTAAGTGTACTGTCCCTTTAACCGCCAAAGTCAGGCAGTGATATCCTTACGCTTCACGTCGCTTCCAGGTAGATATCTGTGCTGTATCTTTTACAGCAACTAAAGTCTATTCACGTTTTTTCGGCAATACGTCGTCGCTAATATCAGCAAACGTCTTTTGAAACTCAGGTAGGTCAGCTTGATACGTGTCATCCTTGCTTCCCCTCCGTCGTGTAGCCTTATTGAGCCAAAACTGAAGTGATGGACACTTGGTTTCTGACAATGCATAGCAGCCATGATATCAACAGAAGGGCTCTTTGGTAATGCAACGTTAAATTGTTTTAAGCAATCTAGTTGATGATCGCCATCGTCAGCATAAATACAACCAATCGCTTAAACACAAATTATCTGTCTTAATCGCAGCCACCCTCATTGAATAAAGATAACTAACGTTATGTCACTGTAAGGAAAGTGGACTGCTTTGTAATTGTTTTCTTTTGTATTTAAATCTGATGCACACTGAATGCAAAAGTTATCGTTCTAAATTTGGTTAAAAGATTTTTAACCCTCAACTACAATGTGTCAGTAGAACAAATGTAGTAGGCAAAAATAAGGTTTTATTATTGCACTTGTATTCCTTATATATTTATATTCCTTATTATATTTCAAAAATAAGGTTTTATTATTGCACTTATATTCCTTATTATGTATATATATATATTCCTTATATTCCTTATTATATTTAAAAAATAAGGTTTTATTTTACCTATAATAAAAATGGAAGAAGAAGAATAATCGTCGGGGAAATGTATTTGATGGTAACTTGGCATGCTCCAATAAAGCTGCTGTCTTCAGAACTCCTTGCATAAATGTAAACAGAATGAAGTGACACAAAACTGCATCAGCTATTTTCAAGTAGCCTACTGGTCAAGGTCGATTATTAGCAGTTGTCTACTCTTATTTTGTCTAAGCTGTATAAGGGTTTATAGCCTTTTATCCACCAAATCCTGCCTTGTATTTTTACCTGCAGATCCACGTCATATGTGTTGCCTAAAATATTCACTGTCTTAATTTATACAGAAATGAGTTCTCAAATCCGACAAAACTTCCACCAGGACTGCGAGGCTGCCGTTAACAGACAGATCAACCTAGAGCTCTATGCCTCATATGTTTATCTCTCTATGGTAAGAAAATGCAATGTGCATCTTTTCTCCCCAAAGCTCATAGCTCATTCTGTTTGACAAAAGTTTTTTGTTTTTTTTATTATTTTAGGCTTACTATTTTGATAGGGACGACAAATCCCTACCACATTTTTCTAGGTTCTTTCAAGCACAGTCTAAAGAAGAACGGGAGCATGCCGAGAAGCTGATGAGTCTGCAGAACAAGCGAGGAGGCAGGATTTTTCTGCAGGACATCAGGGTATAAAATTGTACTTTTTTACTTAATTAAAGTGTTTAGAATATTAATTTTCCCTTCACTGTGTCTATGTACTAACTAACTTAAATACCTTCAAGTCTGTCAGTTTGGGTGCAAGGGCGAATTTATGAAGCAGTGATTCATATGTTGGTTATTTTTGTAAAATCTGTATGACATTGGTGTTATATTGTCCTGCATTATTAATGTCATTTGCAGAAACCTGATAGAGATGAGTGGGGCAGCAGCCTGGAGGCCTTGGAGTGTGCTTTGCAGCTTGAGAAAAGTGTAAACCAATCCCTGCTCGACCTGCAGAAAATAGCGACAGAACACAACGACCCTCACGTAAGAAGCAGAGTAGAAGGCCACGACACATATCTGCTGCCTGAATATTATTCTGTCTCTATCCAGGATGTTTTCTGCTATCCTAGCAGGTGCTCTGATGCCTGTGTTTATTATGCATTTATCTTGAAATGTAGTCTAAAAATAAGCTTTGAAGGTGACCGTCTACCCACGATTAAAAAAATAATTCCGTCTGAAGTGTGTTTTAAACAAATAGAAAAGCTCTGGGATCACTGATACTGTGCTTTAATGTGTCAAAGCACGCTCGCTAACCAAGTGGCAGAAAAATAAATCCAAACTAAAAGATATGCTAATGACAGGAGATGTGCTTTGGCAGTGGCATTATCATCATGTAAAATGATTGATGTAAAGGAAATTTTGAAGCAACAATTTCAAGTTGAGGTAAAAGCATACTTTGCCACTTCTTAATGTGCTTCAGACGATTGTTTTGCTCAAAAAACACTAAGGAAAAATGTCTGTAAGAAAAGTCTGTAAAACTATATAATAATATGGCGGTTGAAGAGCAGACACTTGGCCACTGAAATTGAATTGGAGACATCACCGAGTCAGACTGCAGCTGGATTCTGTGTGCTTTTCATGCAATGTATGCCGTTTGGATGATCTGACACTGTAGTAACATGATTATTCTGTCTTTTTTTTATGTGCAGGTGTGTGACTTCATAGAATCACATTTTCTGGGCGAACAGGTCAAATCTATCAAACAGCTTGCTGACTGGATATCCAACCTGCGTCACATGGGAGCCCCCCAGAGTGGCATGGCGGAGTATCTCTTTGACAAACATACCATGGCTGAGGAGGGAAGTTAAACTAAACTGACCATTCATCTTGTCTCTGACATGTCCTCCTTATAATACAGATACCACTGCTTTACTTTGAGTACTGTGAACTGCACACGTTTCAGATAGCACTTTAGACAATGACCTTACCTTATATTACATTCCTGATTCGTGGTGTTTTGTGAAAACATTGAATTGGTGCCAACGATGTGTTCATATCATCTGATACTGTACTGATAATGTTTTAAAGTAACAAGACAAAATGCTACAATTTCTATTTATTTAAATGAAGTTAAAGTGATTGCTTATTGGCAATTACTGGAATCATGTGCAATGACATTATAAAGTAATAATTCAGGGTATTGCTATTCTAATTTCTTATTATGAGAACTTGTGATATATTTCTTGTGCTTTCAATAACTGATATCTGTATTGTGAACATATACATCCAAAGTAGGTAGATAAATACATAAAGAAATGACAATAATAAATCAACATTACATCCCTTTTCATACCAGGAGTTTCCATCTTACAACCCTTAAGTATGATTTTAATGACGCTGCATTCCACACCTTTTAAATTAAAACATACCTCCTTTTTATAATAAGCTTTTATTTATAATTTTTCCCACTTTTAATAACTCAGCGTTATGAAGTACATATACTATTCCAGAAAAATATTGTGTTAAAGATATTTAAAGGGTATAATACAACCGATAGCTGCTGTTATAATTGATCTACTTTATACAAAGATTTTTCTGTTCTTTCTTTTTTTCAAGTTAGTAAATCTCAGTTTTTTATATATTTAAGATGTGTTATTAGCTATTACGTACTCGCTCATATTCACAAGTACAGGGTATACAATGACTGTGTAGGCTGACAATACAGTAACCTGCAATAAATGACACTTACCTGAACACACTGATGAGACGGAGAACCCCTGAAGATTATTCTTCAATTCTCTTTTAGTGGTGTATAGTGAATTTGCGATGAATTGCTTAAGCAGTGTGCTTGTATAAATACAGTTGCATAGTTAGAAAATGTAATTCAATTTTTCATTTTTTATTGCACAAATAAAAGAAAAGACCAATGAAACAACATGAAGCTAATATTTATTAAAGAGGAAATTAGAAACATGGTTCAATACAATATACAAATTCTACCTCCTTGCCGCTGAACATCAGAGGAAACTGGAAAGTGTTTCTAATTTTCTTTCATAGTTGACTGTAAAATCTCATATGGTGCTTTCTGAATCACAAGTAGGTTAAGTGTTCTGTAAGGGTTTACATGTAAGTAGAGATTAACTTTGTGTTTACAGTTGTGCACAGTGCTACAAATAACTGTAATGCATTTCAGATTGTAACACCGATCGGTACATGTTTAGCTGAAATATTTTGAATTCCACATGTGATACGAAAACAGTCAGTCACACCCTCTTTTCTTAGTCCTGATCCCTCCCTCCTGCCGCCTTTTTCACCCCACCGTCCACCAAAACACCGAGTAGGTCTCCTTCAGCCAATGAGATTCCTGAATCATTGGGTGAGTGTTGCTGATTGGTTTCTTGTTGCGATGATGCTGCAGTGGAAACTGTGTTCATGTTATTGCTCAACCCGCCATTGGTGCCCCCGTTGCTTGCCCTCGTGTTGGCACTAAAGTTCCCATGGTTACTAAAATTACTGTGACTTGTACTGTTACAGAGACTTCCTGTTGTGCCAGTGCCGTTGGTGCTTGTTGCATTAATGCTGCTAGAGCTGCTGTTGGGATTACTGGGATTTGCTGCTGCTGTGCGAGACGGAGGAGTGAACGAGAACACCCTTTCTCCTCCGCTTCCTGTTGCCCGAGCACTCAGAGGTCCAGGTTGGCTTTCGCCTGAGGGGAGGATGTCCAGCGTTAGGCGGGGATGTGGAGGTCGGCGAGACAGCAGGCCATGCCCGGGTCTGAGTTTAGATATTGGGCAGAGTTCAGGTGGGGGGTCGGGAAAGGAGAAGGTAGGAGCAGTTGGAACCCCGCTATCCTCACTCAACCAGGGGAACGCCGACGATGGAGGTGGAGGGATGTGGTTCGGGGTGTCGGGAGGCAGCATCTGTGAGTTGGCCATTGGATGAGCAAGGGAGGTGCAGCTGCGGTCCCACTCATTCTGAGGTCGCCGGGCAGGTCGAGGGCGAGGCACTGCAGGGGGGATGCAATGGATGGGTGTTTGCGGGCAGCTGTAGAAACCAGGTCTCTCATACAAGGGAATGGTGGAGAAGGCATAGTCTGGATCTCGCTCTTGGTTCAAAGGCTGGCGGGCTGACTCTGGGTGCAGAAACAGTGGGAAGCGTTTGTGCGGAGCTCCAGGGCGGCGGCGCAGCAGAGAGACCCGGGTGGAGCGAGGAAAATTGGGGGACTGTACACCGAGAAGACGACCCAGCCCTCCAAGCAGCGGAGTGGAGTAGTTGGCTTCCTCATTCTCTTTTATTTGCCCCAGATTGGATTGAAACTCCATCTCCTCCTTGGGAACACTAGTTTGGATCAAGTAGATGGTTGTGTGATGGTTAGCAAAAGCGCCTAATAAGAATTGTCTTAAAGAAGAAAAAGAAACATTACTGAACCTGATATCCAGGGCTGAGCCCATAAAGGAGGGTTTGCGATGTTCAGCGCTGGCAGCTGTGTATGGCGGCTGAGGTTCAGATTCATTCCAGTACATATCCCTCTCCACCAGCGGAAGACTGTCATACATGTCATCCACAGACAACAAGGACACCTGAGAGACAACGGAAACCAAAAGAAGTATATCGACACCGCCTCTGTCTGCATGAGATTCTTTTTCTAAGCGTTGAGAAATAAAATCAAACCTGTAGATTGCGATCAACAAGCCAGTTGGTTTCAAAGTCATCATCATCTTCACCAAAAGGATTTATGAGCTGCTCAGCCACCTAAAACCATGAACAGAAAACTGATGTACAGTAGCTTGGTAATGGAAAAATGAATACAATTTCTTGCACAGTATAATAATAATAATAATAAAAAATAATAACTCTATTTATACAGCTGTTGGACTCAAACTGCAAAGGCTTGGTCATCTTTTGTGACAGGTCGAGCTGTGGGAACCACTGTTAGGGCCCTATTGGACGATCTCAGGCAGCAATAAAAAATTCTTTGCGTTAAAAGCCTGGCAGCAGCATTTTTAATTAATTGCAGTCTTTGGATGATCTGCTTGCTGATGCCAGAATAAAAAGCATTTTAATAGTCGAGTCTATTTTGGTTTACTGTGTCAGTTGAGCAAAGCAAGACTGCATAATTTAAGTCACTGATGTCAAAAGATTGGTCTGATGAAATGCCAAATAGACTCACCTAGATTTCCTCATTCAGAGGGCGGTTTTAGCTTTTAGTTTCTGATGGTGGAGCCATGTTTGCTGCTAACAGGAAATGTGTTTGAAGCAGTAAAAGCTCAACAAAAGCTGGGAATAATCAGTGTAGTGAGTTTGTGGCCCAGAGAAATGAGTGGAATATGGAAAAACACAGCCCTGTGGTCAAAGACAGCAAAATCAGCCAGGTTCACAGCATCCGCACAGAAACCTTGAGAGATCACAAGAACAAGTGTTTGTCGTTGTCGGTTGTGACTCGGAAGTATCAGCATAAATTCCTTACCTTCAGCCAGCCAACATAAAAGAAGAACTGCAACAGGGTGAAAACAGGCAGGTAGAAGTCCACATCATGACCAGGGTATCCCTGAGCTGGATCCAAGAACTGGCGACCAATCAGACAAGCCAGGAAGAAGCTGTAGACTGCCACTGTCACCACCTACTCAAACAAACAGACAAGTCAAGTCTGGAAGTGTTTCAACACGAGTATATGATTATTGTTGTACCACACATACTCAGATTCTTTATAGCCTAACTGGTATCCTCATATTTGTTAAGCATTTATTTCATGACAATTTTTCTTTTCATAAGAAAAGTTTTTAAGTTATTTATGACTAAATTAAGCTACTGAATTTTGTTCCACCAACAAGGCATCAACTCTAGTTCTAGCACATTGTATCAACAAACCTGAGTGTAGACAAGAGGCAGGCTGATCCAGTCATAGCCGTACAGCTTCATACACTTTGCCCGCAAACTATTCAACTCCTGAATAGAGAAAAAAAAGGACAGACATAACCAATTTACAACAGTGCTTTAGAGTTTAAATGGCAGCAGAGAGACAGAGATGTTCAGGCTCTAGACCTTTAGACCTACAGTGAGAATGGCAGTGAGTGCCACGTCATTGTTGATGCGGCCCTCGGTCCTAGCCCTCAGAGCCAAACTGACAAACCACATGCAGGGAACCCAGAACTTGTTGTGGGGAGAAGGCAAGTCCTCTAGGTTTTTCAACTCCTCTGAGGTCATCAAACCTGTGAAATGGCGTATTGAAAGGGACGCAAGGCAAAAAGACAAAAAGAGACTACAGTTGTGTCCAGGAACACCATTCTTTGCTTGGATGGTTTTATTGACAACAGCTTACCTGCCTGCACCAGATGCTCCATGGTGGGAAACCTCTTGTAGACGGCAGTGCTGACAGAGCGGTAGATAAGCACACCCGAGAGATTTGCGTAACGCATCAGAGTTCGCCGGGTCAGTCTGGAGGGCTCATCGGCTCCTTGAACATGACCACCTACTAATGCCGCCAACCGGTCTGGCCAGGGGACGTTCTCAAACTGGCCCCACCAACGGGACACAACCAAGGTTACATAAAAACCTGTCAAACAAACAAACAAACAAGTAAAGAACTGTTTTTTTATGGATTCCATAGATATTATCTTCAATGAAGGTGAAGATTTATAGCCATTAAAGTCTATTATTTGGATTAACCTTGAAGTTGAGAAATTGCCAACACTCACCCAGCACAAAGGACACAGGGATGAGCTCTGCATAACGGTCACAGTATAAAGACAGCTTCTCAAACAGCCTCCTCTGGACATCATTTAAGACAAATCTGGTGAAGAAAACATACAGTTCGACTTTAAAATTGTGGCTAAATCATACTTCGCTATATCTGCAGACTGGATGAGCTAAAACAAATACTGATGTAGTTCATAATGACTATACCTATAAACAATACTGAAGAAGTAGTACAGAAGAGTGAAGATGACGAGCTCTCTGTAGAGAAGTTTATAGATGCTACCCTTCCACCGCAGAAGCAGGTGGAAGAAGGTTCCCAGACCTGCGTCAGCAACCCTGCGAGAGTACGTTATTGTCATTGCTGCCTGCTGGCCACCTTGTTCGGTGACTGGGAAGTGACATGAAGTAAAGCAGTGAGGTGTTTTTCTCTGCGATTCCTCTTAACTCAACATCCTCGATCAACTTGGATCTCATACAGCCAATGTGGTCACATTACTACAATGAGAAAGGAAAACAAAACAGAGTGAGGTATTTCACATATGTTCGCTCAGACTTGGTTGGATACAAACCAAGTCTGATTCACAATCCCATATATAAACAACTCAAAAATATTTTCCTTTTTCAACACACTTGAAAACACAAAAAAATGATAAATATCAAGTTCTCTCAATTTACATTAAAAAAAACAAAAAAAAAACACGAACTGACCTGAAGAAATATTCGCAGTGTCTGCAAAAACCAAAAACAATGCGTAAGGCTCCCAAAAGTTCAGTTTAGACAACTCTTCTCGTGGTTGCTTACCGCACACTGGGAAGAAATCGTGGTGCCTCAGCCGCTGTGGCTGGAGACGTGGAGAATGTGGGATAAAAAGGAAAGCAGGAAAGAAAAGAGAGAGAGAGAGAGGAAAAAGAGAGTCCTACACCTCCGGTCACTTGATGTGTTAATCTGTTTTCTGCAACAAAGCTGCATTGTGAGCGCAGGTCCTGTTAATCTGAACAAATCTGAGGACAGCAGTGCACCAACACTGCACAAAAATAGCTTGTCCAGTGCTGAGTCTTGAGTTCGGATTTTGGAAGTATGACTCTTATATAACCAATTTGAGCAACTTGTCGGACAATGTGCTTCATAATTTAGTCTTAAGTTTTTTTTTACCTTTGAACAGCTCCCACCCTTTCATTATATTGTCATTTTTCTGTTGTCTTTAAGAGGGCAAGAAAGTTATTTTCCCTGTAGAGGATCATGGAGTATTGATTCAGGGATACCTCTTGATCAGGTGAGACTGTGCGACACCCCTCTGTTGGAAAAAATGTGTAGAGCTTGGCTCTTACTGACCAGAAGGTGTTAGTGATTAACCCTTCCTGCTAACCAGAAGACCTACAGCAGGGCGAAGTGCTGACAACCTGTTTTACATTGACAAAGCATTGTTTCAGCAGTCTTAACTCATTTTTGAAGCTCTGGAAACCGCTGAGGATTGGTTTTGAACACTTTGGTGAGTATATTCTCTGCAGTGTTTTCTTTCCTTTATTCTACACAAATGTGTGTGTGTGATACTTTACTCTTGATATTGTAAAAAAGAGAGACACTCTTTTAGTGTGAGAGCCAACAAAGACAAAGTGTGACCTCCTGCAGATCTGTAGCATTCAAGTTCATGTAGTTTAAACATTGTGGTGGTCCTCAAACTTTTTGAAGAGTCTGAGGTTTGTCAATGAGCTCTTAAGCTTTCATGTGATTTTAAACAGCAGTGTAACTTCTTCTATGCATCCACAGGGCATCAGGATCATTGTGAGACGCTCAAAGCATTGGACCAAGTATTTTCTGATGACCATATGAGAGTCATGGATGCTTTTGAGGGAATTCACACTGTCCAGATTTCCTCTTCTCCTCCATCTTCAACAAAAGTCAGCCCAGGATATGAAGTCCTGAGAGCGGGGAGATCTGGAATAGCGGTTTATTCCTCCACAGTCTTTTACGGTACACCTGAGGTCCTGGGACGGTCTGCTCCAAGACAAAAGTCCAACAGGGAAATAGAGGGGGAAGGCTGTGTAGTTGGACGGTGAGTGTCAAAACCCGAAACACCTGAAGCATGAAAGATGTGCTTATTCCGACCTATGTGTGGATTTTATTTGTTAAAAGGTTATTCTGTTTCCTAGGGTGTAGAGCCAGGTTATTTTACTGATACTTAATTACGTGTGGCTACCTGTGGTACATAATCCTCTAATGTTTGATTCCACCACACTGGTAACACCACCTGAGTAGAAAGATAACGTTCCTTTAGCAGAAGTATTCAACAACAAAAATCTTCACAGATGGGGTTCTGTTGGACATTATGCACAGTTTGACTCCTGTTTTAAGAAATCAAGGTAACGAGATCACAGTCTTTTGAGGATCGTTGATGTTTTTACACCTGATAATGTTACGGTAACAGCCATGTGGTCAAGTTGTAAACTAGCAAACAGAAGTCTATTAAGTGTGCACACGGTGGCCATTTTCCTCTGACATCAGAAGCAGGATGTGGAGCTCAAACGGGACATTACATCATATTTCAGTGTTTCCGGTTATCATTTCTGTAGCCTGATTGATCAGTAATTGAAGAGACAATGAACAGACAACGTCCAGAAAAACACAAGGGATGTTTCAAGTTAAAAAAACACATCTGATAATCCTAAAGCTACAAACAACACCATTAGCAAAAAGTCATGTCTATTATTATTCAATGCCTGAAACCTACTGAAGGTGTTCTCCACAGCAAATATTCTGGAAAAGTGATATGCTTGAGTGTCAGAAGAAGACAGGATTAGATTTTTTTTTTTTTAATCTATAAATAAAACATTATATTTCTTAGACGTGAAAAATGAATAAGAGGTAGGCTACCGCTTTGTCCACTGGAGGCGTCCAGGAGCTTTGAATGTGTTGCATTACCTTGAAACATGTCCTCAGTTCCCCCTTGATGTTTATTATCTCGTTTCTTTTAATGCATCCAAGGAATGGAAAAGATGTAAAATGATGAAAAGTTAGAAACCGGCAGCTGTGGATCAGTGATTGGTGGTAGTTCATTGTCTTTCAATCGGAGGGAAGTCCTTTTACGACTTACTATGGCTGTGGGTCAGTGGTTGGTCATCTCTCAGTAGGGGTTCGATCCCCAGCCCATGCATCCAAGTCAAAGTTTTTTTGGGCAAGACACTTAACCCCAAATAGCTCCCCTTTGAATGTGCTCGGAACATGCTGATGGGAAGTTTGGACCTTAATGTTGACGCGTCTGCCAGCAATATAATAAAGTGACATGTTGTGTATTAAGGGGGCTTGAGGGGTCAGAAGACTATAAAGTGCCATGCAAGTCCAAGTACATTTACCGTTTACAACCATTTAGCACTACAACATTATAACAGCCTGTGAGCTGTTACCTGAGTGTTCAGTCTGGCAAAAATATCTGCTATGTGAATATTGTAAACATATAGTCACCACATAAACTCCCACAAGGAATGTCTACGAATCTGCCACGGACAAAAAAGGTTTTCAACTTTTCCAGGCCTGTCACAGAACTGTAGGAGAATAACAATGATGTCAAAGATGAGCAGTTCTGTTGTTAAAACCACACCAACCCAAACTATGGTCTGCTTAGAAAAAGGAACCTAACTTAGAAAAACTCGTCATCGTTACAGTTTAGCTTTCTTGACTGAAAATACTTGTTCTTGGCTCTGAAAACTGAATTCTTCTTCACACAGCTATGAACGTTAAAAACAACGCCTGAAGAAAAACGTTGTATGAAACTGCTTGGTCACACGACTTTTAGGACATCTCTCTTTATGTTCTTAAATAAAGACTTAAATAATAATAGAGAAGAGTTATATAGAGATATTCTGCTTAGTAGCACAAAGCTAACTTCTTAATGTGATTAATGGAATTACCTCTGAGTAGATCTTAACATTTGATCTGTAGGTGTCCATTTTTAGTTAAAGCAACATAACTTTAAGGTTATGTCGCTTTTGTCGCCCCCCTTGTGGACAAAGTGTAGGCTGTATCTCTTCGATGAGCTCTCACTTTAAATGTGACACAATTCTCCTCATTTTTTAATTAAATGTCTAGTATGAAACTTTGATTTGGCTGAAATTAAAAAAAAAAAAAGCTGTTTTGGTGGTTGCTGTTAATCATCTGACTCCTACCCTGCAGGAAAAAATGGTCCTAACTGTAGTTAAATTATTAGTCTTGTTGCAAATAGTTGTGTTTGATTTTTGGCTCCTATAGATGCATCATAATTAATTTCAGTCGTTTTTTATTACAAGCTTAAATTACCTCACATAAAGCTTCAAGAGAATAATGTTAAGGTTTAATATATTAAGGCTACATTTATATGGGTGTGCAGAGCTTGGCTCACACAACATTTTAGATAATAGCAAACATTATGGTGACAACATCAAAATGTATGACCCAGTAGTTAGTTAGTGTAACCGGGCTGCCAATGTTTTCTCCCGTGCCTCGGTCAGGGCGTGGGGTGGGAGTGGATGCTCTGTCATGTGACCGGTGTGTGTGTGCGTGTGTGTGTGCGTGTGTGTGTGTATGTGTGTGTGTAGCCTACTGAGAGAAGAATGAGAGCAGAATAAGAGCAGACACACTCGTTTCGTTCGCAGGAATACAAAAAAGACGGACACGAGAAGACTAAAAGTGACAGACATTGCTTTAAAGGTGTGAAAAAAGCTGGTTGTTGTTCTGTCACTATCACAGCCTCTGCTGCTGCTGCTGCTGCTGTTGTTGTCGGCTGTCTACGTCAGCGTCCGCATTCCTCCGCCGTGATTTAAAACAGCTGAGATAAGTTAACAGAAACCAGCTGACTTTAGCACAGTTAGTGAAACATTTATTAATTCAAAAGAAACACCTGAAGGACATTGAAGGAGAGAAGCGGAAGCCAACAAGGAGAGAGGGTTATCTGCTGTCCTGGACACTGACTGGGTAAGGGCGGATACTGTGTGTGTGTGTGTGTGTGTGTGTGTGTGTGTGTGTATGGGGGGACGTACTGGTATTAAAAAGTTATAAATGTTTCTTATAAAGTGGCAGAGGGTCCAAAGGGTTTCACTTACAACTTAGTGGGAAAACATGTTTCATTAGAACTGTGAAAGAGTATTTTATCTTATTTCTGTTGTCAAAATGATTATAAGCTTATAGTTTGAAAAGTAAGTGGGAAACATAAATGATCTTTATATAAATATGTCATATTATATTAAAACTCTTTTGCATCCTAATCTTGCCATGCTTAGTCTAGTTAATATAATTACTTGTAATAAGCTTAGCTTGCTAAAACTTGTGCAGTTTCAATAACCCTTCAGTGAGTACTACTTTTTGACCAGTGCATCATCTGGGCTAATGACTGATTTGACCACATTACAGATATGAAACATAGGCAATAATACCCACAGCTTCTTGAATAACATACAACTGGCCAATTGATTCTTCTCTGACTGATTTCATGTGCATCATGAGAGCCATTCCTGGAATTACAAAACTATTATATAAATGGCATTATTTGTAAGTGGCAATGTAAAAGATTAAACTTAATTGTTCCCATTTAGGAACTGCATCTAATTTATTTGAAAAGCTTACTTACATATGTAGACTAAAACATACACAAATTAATATACAACTACACCAATCCTTTATTCTAAACTGTCTATATAGCAACCTAATTGAATGGATGTCAAATCTCTGTGCCCTCACTGACAGCACTGATAATATTTCTGCTTATGTGAAGGTTGGTAGATCTGGATCCAGAGCCAGACTCCAGGGTGGAGGTAGGAGGTCAGGCCCGGCCCACCTCCGGCAGAGATCATGGCAACCTCTCCCGGCTTCGTAGCTCCTCGCTGGAGATCAAAGAGAAAGAAATCCGAGAAAAGGGCTCAGAGATCCTAAGGGAACAGCTGGACGCTGCAAAGAAGGTGTTGTAGCCTACTTTATGCTGACAAAGAATTGTTTGACTTGGAAAAAAAAAAAAAAAAAAAGAGTTGACATTGCAAATTGTGCTTCCTTGTTAATATGATTGTGACATGGTTTACACATTTCAGGAACTGAAACTAAAGGACAGAGAGTGTGAGCGTCTTGCTCAGGTCAGAAATCAGCTGGAGCAGGAGCTGGAGGAGCTGACAGCCAGTCTGTTTGAGGTGAGCAGTAATCATGGCTCTCTGATCAGTGCTCTGTCATTTTCACACATGCCTAAAACACTCAATTTACAACAATAGAAAATTGGAAATAACACTTGAGACTCAATATGGAGAATATGTAGCCACTTATTGTTTGGCATTTTAGAACAAACTTGTTTTTTTGTTGTATAAATAATGCATATACATGTATGCAAAAACACTTAAGCTACCTATACTTAAAAATACATTAATTTAAACATATATATCTATGTATATATACAGTATATAAATTACAGTTTGTGCAGCAAATATTTACAACGGAGATTGTTCAAATCATGTGTTGATGTTTCAATGTTAATCACATCAGGAAGCTCACAAGATGGTGAATGAAGCGAATGTCAAACAAGCTGGAGCAGAGAAGCAGTTAAAGGAGGCTCAGGGAAAGGTATGTGTGAAGTTCTTCCCGGTATTGAGAATCCATGAGCTGGGTGATTGTGTTTATTTATTTTGATGACCCTTTGTGCCAGAGGTGGGGGACTCGAGTCACACGACTTGACTCGAGTCAGACTTGAGTCGCAAATTTGAGGACTTGAGACTTGCTTGACTGACAGTGATAAATGACATGACTTGACTTAGACTTGAGACAGATGACTTGAAATGACTTTGTTTTTAGGACTTAAATTTTGCATTTTTCAAGTGGGGATTTTTTCGGGGGGGGGGCATGATGAGTGCAATGCAGAGGAGCGCACGCAGCATACCAGCAGCAGAGGCTAGGCCTATGCAACAGGCACTCAGGGCGCAATCACACTGGCAATCTGTACTGTGCCTATAAGCACGCTTCACCCCATGGACGAGCACAGGCACGCAGGTACACAACGCTGACAGCCTGCATTATGGAGAAATCGGGGAGTGTTCTGTCTGTGTCTGACTAACACTCAAAAAAGCCACAATGTAGCTTTCATGTTCTCTGTGTTGTTCTCCGATGTGCGGACGCGGACGTGCCTAATTTCTTATTTTTATTTATTTATTTATGGCTGTATCTGATTAAAATGACTCAAAACAAGAGTCAGTAAAGTAGCTGTCATGTTCTCAGTGTTGTTCTCCGATGTGCAGGTGGGACTCGCTGCGCGTCCCTTCTGTCTTCAAATAGACTGCTGCAGTATTCTATGTCGAACATTTTAGACTAATTGGATGTCACAACTAAAGTTCCTTTCATCACTTTCTCAGTATTTCATTTATACTGTGTGTTCCTCCCAGATTGATGTTCTACAAGCAGAGGTGACGGCGCTTAAGACTCTGGTATTGACGTCGACACCTTCTTCACCGAACCGCCAACTGCATCCACAGCTGCAGTCTCCAGGAACCAGGGGAGCCCACAAACACGTTGGCGGTCACATCCGTAACAAGAGCGCGAGCGGCGCGTTTCCACCTTCATCCGGAAAACCAGAACCTTCCTCAGTTTCCATTCCGCATGCGACCAAAGAGGACCGAGAGGTTACTTGGATGAAGTTCATGAACATGTTTCTCTGCTCTTTTGAGTGTGTTTCTGACACTTTGGACATGTGCTATTCCTGTTTCTAGACTTTATTCCTGTTTTCATTCTCTCTTACCTCTTGACTTGATCCAGGTTCTCTTCGTGTTTTCTTTTTTCTCAGTACTAACCTCTCCCTGACTTGTTCTTCCTCCCTGTCTCTGGTTCGCTCTCAGCCTGCTGTTCCTGCTCTTCTCTCTCTGATTCTCTGCCTGGTTCCTGGCCAGTCTGTCAATGTGAGCTTTGACTCTTACTGGCAGCAGCAGGGAGAAGGGCTAGCTACTGACGGCAGACAGGTAACTGCATCACTTCCTCCGGGCCTGACTGGAATTAGCTGCTGGCAGATTGATCTTTTTCTTTGTAAGTTCTGAGCTCTCATGGGACAGTAAGCAAGTTTTCCTGCTAGCGGGCCGGCTCAAGGCATAGGGAAATAGGCGGCCATCCAGGACATTTTGAATGTAAACCAACTAACAGGTGGTCACATCCCCAAAACTCTCCTGCTGCTCCACTGAATTCAGCCTTACTTTGCTGCTCTCTCTCTCTCTCTCTCTTTCTCACCTGCTCTCTGACAGTCCTCTTACCCCACACTCATTACTCCAGTACTCCACGCAGTAGAGAGGAGAGATTGTCATTGTATTGAGATCCTGGCAGAAAAAAACAACTCAGTCTCTCTGATTGTTTTAAAACAAGAGTGAGTTAAAGAAGCTTCCCCCTGAAGTAACTTAACCAAATTGTTAATTAATAAGATAAAAGCTTCATCGTGACCGTAGGTGCGATGTTTACTTAGCGTGCCATTAATGTGTGGTCGCCCAGAATAGCCTACTTACATGCGATCTATACAGATGATGATACCATCATGCATTTAGCACAGGCGAAAGTATTTTTCTACAACTGCACTTGTGTCCTTTCTGACATCTTTATTGAACTGTTTTTGAACCATGCATTGAGAGGTGAAGCCGGGTAGCGTAATTATTGAGGGTGATAGTTTGTGTTCTGTTTGCAGATGGACTCAATTCTGTACGCCGAGTTTTTGACGTGGAAGGAAAAGTCAAGTCTAGACCGTTCCTCTGCCTTCTTGAGTCGCATCTACAGAGAGGACATTGGACCCTGCCTCTCCTTCACAAGATCTGAGGTCACAATCTCACTGCGCTTTCTGCGTCATGTGTTCATACTTCACACTTCAAAGCTGTTTTAGCATGAATCATTGTCGTTGTCCACAGCTGTCGCAGCTCGTGCAGAGTGCAGTGGAAAACAACTTACTGACCATCGAGCCTGTGGCCATGTCAGCGTTACCGATGGTGAAAGCCTCAGCTGTTGAGTGTGGAGGCCCGAAGTGAGTGATCACATCTATATACCAACTTTGATCCAGTTCTCCTCTCACCATTCACTGCTAAACTCTTACCTGGATTTGTATTCTCCCTTGATGATTAATGGTGAAGCGGAGGTTTTTCAACTGTCTTAGCACAAATCTGAGAGGGGGTTAAATCAACCGGCACATTTCTAATCACTGTCTGATACCTAAATATTTTTCTTCCAGTGGCTTTAGGGCTGCAATAGAGACGTAAGTCATTTCAGAAAACAATCACCTATTGAGCTTCTTTTTTTTTTTTCACTAACATGTGTAACTGGAGCATGACTTAAACTCTTCCTTAATCTTTAACTTTATAATCCCGACTACCTTCTGCATGTGTTTGGGTGTCATTCTAATGAAGCCTTGAACATCTTCCTCTTTCAGTGACTAACTTTCTCTTATTGTTCACTACCTTTTATTGTGTGTTCTCATGAAGTATTTTTTGAAGTCGGCAGACAAAGGATTCATTGTTGTCACCCGATAGTCTCCGTAATAACACGATGATGATATACCCTGTTGTGTGTAGAAAATGTGCGTTGAGTGGCATGTCGCGCCTGTGCCGACACCGCATTAAACTTGGAGACAAGGGGAGCTACTATTACATTTCCCCGTCCAGTCGAGCACGGGTAACTCTCACTTTTTCTTTGTGACCTGCATTAAATACACTGCTGAGGCTGCTGCTAAGTGTTACTATATGCAACCTTGTCCTTGTTCCTCCCTTCTAGATCACGGCTGTTTGCAATTTCTTTACTTATATCCGCTACATCCAGCAGGGCTTGGTGAGACATGACGGTAAGTTAAAACACATATTTGAAATACTTCTGATTTTTTTCTTCGTATGGATCACTTTTGCAAACAAGGATTCCATTCAGTGCCGCTGACATGTTGTATCTGTTTGTTTTTCCTCATGCAGCGGAGCAGATGTTCTGGGAGGTGATGCGTCTCCGTAGAGAGATGACTGTGGCGAAGTTAGGTTTCTACCCCACAGACCAGGGCTAGAGGACACTGATCATTCCACTAAAACACCATGCAAGACTTGTGAGTCTGTGTTTAACTGGTAACAAGCAGGTCGAGGATCATTTTTCGCTGCAGAGGTTGTAGAGAGCAGGAGAGGCCAATCAACAAGGGAAGCAGACAATGTTGTGTACCACTATTATGCAATAAGACAAAGAATTTAACCAGCACAGACTATAGTTCAGCCCTTGTGTGAGCTTCTGCCAATGGAAGGAGAATTGTTTCTGCTTTGGAGTTCCTACAACTTGTCGAGGTTAAAAACAGATTCTGTGTATCATTTACCAGGCAAAAATGAGCACAATGAAAAGTTGAAGCAGTGCAGAGTTTCTTACCTCAAATATTACATACTTCAAGAATTATGTAATGCATTGATTGTTGTTATTCATGTGGCTTCCTCAGAATAATTAATGGATGTGTTTTTTTTTTAAAATTTTACACTCATGCTCATTAGCATTACGTAGTTATTTTTTTGACTTGACTTTTTGTCTCAGCATGGCCTTAACATCGTTGATGCATTGTTGCACTTCCTCTTCTAGATGCCTTGTATAAAAACACAAAATGAAACCGATGCAGCCTCTCGCAAGAAACCGCTTCATGTTAGCCCGACCTGTGCTTAGTAATCGGATGTATCATTAATGAAATAGTAATGACACCACACCTCCCTGTTCAATATGGTTTCACAGTAAGTCAGAAAAAGAACAAGCTTTAACACAAGTGATGCAATACACACAACAGATGCCATTGTATTTTTTGCATGTCTGCAGAACAGTATGTATTTACAATAAAAGCCATAAATGACTTTGCATGAATGCAGTAAATAGCCATAAATATGCAATATATTTTGATTGTACCTCATAGTGTAGATTGATTACAACCACCCCCCCCCCCCCCCCCACCTCCAAACAGTTTCTTGAAGGTAAAAATGAAGGCTTTACAGAAAGTGCAATATCTGCTTCTTAGCCCTCTTTTTTTGGGGCCTTGGGGATCCTGACCCCAGAGTACTGGTGAATAAATGTGTCTCTGGTGTAAACGCTCCATTAAAGACGAGCCAGTGGAGTCTTTGTCACCTTTGTACTGTGTGTGATTAATTGGTCTTTGAACAGAATCTGATAGCAGAGAAAAGGACCTGCTGGTTTTACTGTGTTGTCGGGTCTTTATTGACTTGTAATTTACAAACAAGGACTCTTGGAGTAAGTTAATGTTAAACCTGTGCATTGATACAGAGATGTGGATTCAGATTAATTCAGGTCACTGCCAGGAAGTGACTGTTTGCCCTAACAAAAATAAAGCTCTCAAACCCACATTACGCACTGTTACCTCACAGGTTTGTAAGCAGGAATCAGGGCAGTGGCACTGAGGGACACTAAGATCATATCCTGCTCAGAGGGGCTTTAAGGTATGAAAATCTGTTTTTGGTTCTGACATTCCAGTAAGATTTTAGTTTCCGGATAGAACGGTTTTATGTAAGCTTGTTATTCTATTTTTATGGCTTTATCATACAGATTACCACCTTAAAAAACAGTTTGACTCACCGAATAAGAAGTGACATACTGGGAGTCATGGGACAAAAACAGTCTGCCAAGTGAGCAGGAAACCACATGGATACATTTAATATAAAATAGTTTTCTACAGCGTGGTATAAACAAAATATTCCACCACTATAGACAGTTTGAAAGATGTCCACATATAACCATTATAAGAAGGAAATATACTGAAGACAGTTAGATATATTCACTTAACTCGAGAACATTTCAACAAAAGTGGACCAAATTAACTTTGCCCCTGACAACACGCTGCATTTATTAACTCTTCTTTCTTTGGGAAGTATCTGAAAAAGAAGATATCGTTGTTGTGACTTAAAAAGACTTCACAATTACAGATTTGTTTCTTATATTTTCACCAATACAACACAAGTTAAAGAAGATATTTTTACCAGAACTTAACATGCAGAGCTAAAGTTATCAGAAAGTGTTTGTTTGAAGAAATAGTTTAGAATTTGTTGCCGCTTTAGTAAATAGTTCTACAGTATTGGTATCAAAATTTCAACCTGGATGGTGCACTTTGAATATATTTCTCTCTTCAGTGACTCACCTTCGATAACAGAACATGATCAGCAGCAGCACAGCCACACCACCGATCACTACGATCACTGCGGTGACCACAGAGACAGCTGACTGCGAGAAGGGCTCTGAAGAAGTGCATAGAAACATAAAAAAAGCGTAACAAAAAGAAGACATTTATCACCAAACAAGGAAAGGATCTGAACAGACCTGAGCAGATGAAGGAGCCTGGTGTGTTGAGGCACTCCAGGTTTTGTTGGCAAAGAGAACTTTGTTCTTCACATTCATTAATATCTGCAACGGTCAAAAACAGTCGTCAATAGGTTGTTGACTTTTTCACTCGCAAGGGTTGTTATTCACAAACTGACATTTGTCTTTTAGTTGAATCAAGTTGTAAAAAGCGGACAAAGCAAATTAAATTAACCACAATTCAGGAGCTATTCTGAAGCGTATTGTTGACATTACATTGTTCCCACTTTTCTTTTCACTAGACTATTTTGAGCATTAAAGAAATCTCCCTTATTTTGGCTCTAAACATACAGTATGTAGTATCTGCGTTTAGGGGTCTCTCAATTGAAACAATAAAGAAGGTTTAAAATTATGACGTGAAGAAATGTGGGATCACGGAAGTTGTTACCAATTTTCTCGATGAGAGTCTCGATGTGACTCAGACAGTTTTAGCTTTCACAGAAGAGGTCATCTTTTTAAGTTTTATTCAAGTTATGAACAGTTTATTTTTACTCGTACTTAGAATCATTTACGCTAGTTAACATAAGCAGTTTGCTTATCACCTGATCATCGGCATGAGAGACCACTATGCATGAACTTCATCATGCAACAGTTTAAGTTCACATTGAAATCTTAACAATGGTTTTGTGAAATGGTGTTCTGCACACATTAACAACATGTATGTTTTTAGAAATACCACAATAAGTATTGTAGTCTTGCCCATGCCTTATTTTAAGTTTTGTACCTTCACATGTGGGGGGTTTGGGGCTCCACTGCTGGCTGTTAAGATCACACTTGACAGATGAAGATCCCAACAGTTTGAAGCCAGCGCGACACTGGTACAAAATCGCCGAGTCACAGAGGAGAGAGTAGCCGGATTGAATCCTGGGAATGGGCCCACAGCTGGGGTCTGCAAGAGAGACATCAGGCATGTTGATGGTTGTAAACACAACCGACAAACTCAAGGTGTCTCCTTTTCAGCCTCCTCACCTGTGTCAGGTTCTTTCCATGGGCTGATGTCGAGTTTGGAGATGAGCGGGTGTGAACAGGCCAGCATGTCCTCTGGTCTCTCCGTACGTGAGAACGGGTCAGCAGGGACGTGAGTGATGTGGCTGTTGTCACAAATGATGCGGGACAGAGAAACGGAGTGGAGGTGTCTCCTCTGGGTGCTGGTGAACAAGCCTTCCCTCTCCCACCAAAACCTTGTGAGACAGAGACAGATTACGATTGTTCCACCTTGCTTCATCGTGGTCATAATTTCACACCAGCAGTCACACAGGGTATTTTGTTTTTCTTACCTGTCCCCGTCCCTCAGTGCTCTGAATTGTCTCGCCAGCAGGCAGGACAGCAGTGGGCCGACTCGACCTCCAGGTAGAGCGGGCTCAGAGATGGCCCCTACCCACACATCAATATTGTGTGGTGTCCCATACAGGAGCTGGAGTTTGTGAGCCAAGGTGAAGTTACTCAAAATTTCAGCCAGTTCAGATGTAGTGTTGGGAACAGAGAGGCTGCAGAACTTTCTCCATGAGCAGTATCCTGATGTGTGAGATGGGACAGGCAGCAGGAGATTAAAGGTGAAGCAGGTGAGATAATGATAGGAGGGCTTTAAGAAGAAATTTCAACCATGGTGTCTGATCGGATTGGACGATTTCATTTCATTTTTTGTTTGTTCCGAACATATCAAAACACACAATGTTCACAGAAAAAAAAAAGATTCACAATTTATCGCAATCCATGTTCAAAAAGGAGCAGGGAGAAGAATAAATCTTATAGAGTCAGTATATTATCTGTGATGGATTACAGTGTACACCTTGGTCCCTTAAAACGTTAAATCCTGGGATTACTCTCCTCTGTTTTTTAGGCCAAAAAAAGAAAGAGAGGTTTTACTGCAAGTGGCACGGCCCTCTATTTCATAATTTCTGGAAAAGGCTTAACTCTCTTTATAATGAAGAAATACAAATCTTTTTGTCGTTATTTTTTGTGCTGAATCATTCAGACAAAGCGTTATCTTTGAAAAGAGTCCTACAAAAAACTCTTTACCACGCTTTCCATATAATCAAAGGGTTGATATATTTTCAATGGATCAAGCCTCGACCCCTACTGCTATGCTCTTCAGAAGGTGTCACACACTTTCTTTATAAATTCTGCACTCTACAGTCTATGTTTTGCATCTACACACTACAAGGGGAGCTCTCTTTTTTACTAAAACACGTTTGTGGTACTCATAGTTCTGAGGAAGACGTTTCTATAGGAAGATTAAGTCTTCCAGTTGGTAGCCTATAAGCTTGGGCATAGTCTCCCAATGAGCGTTAGGACTTCGGACTTTGTTGACTCTATCCAAAAACGTAAAAAGATTTTACAAAGATTGAGAGTGTTCTTTAGTTTCCTTATTATTTCTATAGCTCGCTAACCACCACCAGCTCTCTTTTTCTTTTTCTCTGTTGCTTTGAGAGGCTCCAACATATTTATTGTGCATGCTGAATGCAGGTCAATAAATCAGCTGAGTAAAAAGGCCTCAAACGTCCCCCCCATAACCCTTATTATTGTGTTATATTGTAAGTTTAGCACTTTAGAAATTAGGAAGAAGAATTTACCCTTGTGTAAAGTGTTATGTATCACGCTCTTAGTATTTTCTGTAATGTGTCAAATGATCATTTTAAGCATCTTGGGATTGGGGATCTGAACCACAGTTTTTGAAAGTCAACAGATGCATCAGAGGAAGAAGGATAGTACCTGGCAGGCCGTGATCGCGGCCTCTCTGAAGGTTAAGGGCCCCGAGGTCCAGAGGCATCCCGCCTTGTGCCTGAAACAGCCTTTCTGTCAGCTCCTCCACCATCATTTGACCTGGTGTCTGCAGTTTGGCGGGAGACAGCAACAGGCCGCGCAGGACAGGGTCTATACCACCTGACAAAAAAAGAGAAAAACAAGCAGAAATAGAAAAAAATAGAAAAACACTAGCAATTACAATGTACTGCATGGAAGCATGGTTGTTTACCTTCCTGTATAACCCTCCAAGAAGCAAACAGTGAGTGGTGCAGAGGCAGCGGGGCATGTTGGGAGTCAGTAGTGTATCCTGGTCCCAGCCTGTTTACAACAGGATGCACTGTCACATGGGCAAATCGAAATGCAGCAGCCGCAAAGGCGTTAGCAATGCTGGGATCCACCTCGGGATTGTAACCCTCATAGGGTGGCATCAGATGAGGCATGGTGATCTCACCGAGGACCAGCGGTAAGTAGTGGTTCCAAGTTAGGATCTGGAATGATAAAGGCAGCAAGTGCTGGGAGAGCAAATAGGTATATACAATCAGATGTCTAGTTGAAGCTGCTGCTGATACCTGATGAATGGCTCCCAAAATCTTGCGGGCTTCCTGATAAAGGGTGTCAGGACTCCAGTGAGGGTTGAGCAGGTGCAGCTCTTTTACCAACCGGTTGTGCTCTCTCAGAAACAGCGTGTGCAGGGCGATCATTCCCAGATGCTCATTGGCTCTTGAATCCCCTGTGAATAATTAATCATTACAACTCCAGTGAAGCCTCCAGAGTACAGAAAGCTCAATACATTGACTCACTCACCAGCATGAAAGCAGGATGTGGTATTCTTCTGATGCGTCGATCTGTCCCACTCCCCTGAAGTGGTGGAGTTTCGAGGGCCACATGGGTCCAGGTGAGCCTGCAGGCGAGGCAGGAATGGCATGTAGGCGAGCTCCTGGTCCAAGTGCTGGGAGTTATGGGCCATCATGCCCAGAGGAGAGGAGTTGTTTCTCAGAGCCGAAGCCAGGCTGGTGGAGCTGCCATACACCATGCTTGCATCTACAAAGGAGGTGATGGCGTTGAGCTGCTCTCGCTGGCGGTGAGATAAGATTCCAGAGACACAGCTGGGAGCAGAGCGGAAGAAAGGCATACAGCTCTGGATGCCATAGCGAGGATCTGATAGAGGGATCTGGAAAAATAATGACTCTCAATGGTTCTCTTTGCATTAACTGTTCGCAGCTCATTGAAAATGCTTTGGAAACACCACCTTAGTATTACGTTAATAAGTGTTGCTGGTTTTTCAACATTTGATAGAAGACTTTTGCTTAAAATGTAGGAGTACTCAAAGATAAAAGGAAGGGGACAGAAAACCTAAGCAACCCTGAGAAACACCTGATAGTCGCTTATTAGAGCTCTCAAGAACTGCTGTTAATGTTGTGCTTTGCCTCTGGTCACTTCCTATCAGCACCTGTGTGTCCAATCGGACTCAAAGCGGATCATTTGCTCTTACTGACATTGTTCCCTTTTTTCTAGATCCTTGCTTGTGTTGTTCTTACTCTCTGATGTACGTCGCTTTGGATAAAAGCGTCTGCTAAGTGAATTGTAGAATGTAGAATGTAGTAACATGCACCTGTATGGGGAAGCAAGGTGTGTCCCGACTGCAGGTGCGTGTGCAGTCAGCTCCGTTTCTGAACGAAGCTGTACTGGGGCTTTGAGGTGTCAGCACTATGTCATGGTCTATCCACTGACCCCACTCGACCAGCAGGTGGGACAATGTGGAGTCTAGAGAGATGTTGTCATTGTGAGTGAACAGCACCTCCTGAGACACCAGCCGCACCTAAACAACAGACATATTTTCTGAGTTACTGGAGCTGACACAACAGGGAAGAATTGACTAGAGCTGCAGGACTCTTACCGGAGGCAGAGTGGTGTTATGGTAGGTGTGCTCTGGATCCCAGCCTCTGGGCATTCCCCACTCATCCTCATACTCTGGAGGCAGCCAGCGGGAGTAAGGGATGTTTGCAGCCCCCCATCTGGGATGCCTTCTGAACACCAACAGAACAGAACAGACACAGGTAAAAAAATACATTTCTAAAAATAAAAAAGCTGGAAGAAATGGCTCTGTAGTTATGTGCTATGTGTGTGTTTTTAAGAGGATTTAAAGTCAGTTGAAGATGCCTTAAAGAAAAAAAAGAAACCTAACCTACACAACAAAAAGCAGAATTACCCCTGCCCCCTCATAAGTTACAAAATGATAATACAAAATGATTACACATTTTTAGAGTAGATAGAGTAGAAAACTGAGAGAGAGAGAGAGACTTGGGAATGACCAGAAAGTAAGGAGCTGTAGATCAGACTAGATCTCGGCCATGCTTTAGGACTATAGCCTCCTAGGCCATGACCTAATGGCTATAGGCCCCAGGAATTTTCCCCCCAAAAAAATATTAATGTGAAAAGATTTCAAAGACTGTAAATTTTAGAAAAATACAATTCCCAAGAAAGTTGACAATAATTCCATCCTAAATTCCTGAAAATGTGCACAAATTCACAATGGAAATTGTTCCCAAGAGTTCCCTAAATTTCCGGACATGTCCTTAAAGTTTACAAAAAAATCTGCAAAAAATCCCCAAATGTTCTACATATATTCCTGATTGATATTTCTGAAAGTCTCCAAAAAATTTGCAAGAAAACATGTTGCAAAGTTTCAAAATATTCACGAAAATTCCCCAAATCCCTAGGAAAATTCCCAGATATTTACAAGGGGGAAAAACATCTGAGAGTTCCTGAAAACTCCCTGGAAATATTATAAAATTGTAACTGCAGTTTCCAAAGATTCCCCATTAAAGTTTCTGAAAATTTGATGGGAAAATTTTCATAATTCTGCTTGACATTCCAGGTAAAGTTTCCAGGTAAAGTTTCCAAAGATTCATTGGAATTTCTGGAAATGCCTGGGAAAAATTCAAGGGATCTCTTAATTTGCAACACAAATTCCAAAAAGTTTCTGAGGATATTTGCCAAAAAATGTCTAAATAATTCCGTGGAAAATTCCCCTGAAAGTTACTGGGATAATTCCCCCAAATCCATAGGAATGTATGCAAAAATTCCCAACAAAAAAATTTGTTTACACAAATTGACAACAAAAATTCTTAAAGGTTTTCAAACATTCCAGACAAAACTTCATGACAAAATTATGAAATTACTGGGAAAATTTCCCAAAATTCCAGAAAAAAAGTCCAAAGATTCCCATGAAAAGTCCGCAAAATTTCCTGGAAAGTTTACCAAAAAATATTTTTTTTAAAGATAAAAAAAAAAAAATCCAGATTAAATTCCCAGGAATTTTAATGAATTCTCATACTGTATATACCACCAGTGAACCCTGTAATCAATCAATTCTTTTATAGTGTGTTAAGCACTTGCCTGTTGTTGCACTCTCCTGTGAGGGATCTGTAGCGATTTGATAGACAGTCAGTGTCACAGCTGGGTCTTTGAAGCTCAGTGGAGCAGCCTGTCGCCTGCAGCAGGTTCTCCACATCTCCTTCACTCAGAAGCTCTTTAGAAATATACAGTGTTATTCAGCTATATAAAATATATAAAATCATATTAAATAATCATCAATCCTTAATAAAAACAAAGAGAAAATGACAGACTTGGGTCAGAGAGGAACAATCTCCAGGAATCTAAAGATGCTTGAACTGGATTTTGACTATTTTGTGGCTCTACTGGTTGAAAGAAGACATTTTGTGAAAAATAGGATCCCTGTTTGTTTTGAGTATCAAATACAGAAAAGCTACGAGCTTCTGGTGTTTTATATTGGGATTAAATATTTAGAGAGTCAGTAAACAGCAGAACATTAATCTGTTACCCAAAATATACAGTATTATACATAATGCGAAATGTATAGAGGGACTGGCATGAAAGTGAAGTACTACACGAGTTCCCTAATGCAGGAACATATCTTTGTGTTGCATGTAAAGCTGTTCAGTACCATGAGGACTTGGTATCGTCATAGTGTGGGTGTAGACCATCTCTCTGATCAGCTCCACTGTGTTGTCCAGCAGTTCGGCAGCCCAGATCTGTGTCCTGGTTCTGGCTTCAGTCTGTTTAAACTGAGCCAGCAGGTCATTGGGTCTTAAAGCTCCTTCGGACAGAGACTTCTTCACCCTGGAAACATTAAACGTTTTTTTTTTTATCAATTCCATGACGCTAAGAGGAAAATTATATTGGATTTTTTTTCTATTCCAAAATATACCTTAGCACACAAGTTACTTGTACCTTTCACTTGTGCGTGCATAAGCCGCATCAGTCAGCTTGATCGCCCTCTGAAGAGCCTCCTTCACAAACACAGAGCCTGGATACACAGTTTCTGAAACCCCTAAAAAAAGGAAAACAAAGTTTGAAAGTCACCTCAGTACCATATCTCACTTGTTAATGATCAAAATGAAATCCTACCTGAGTTGTTCTGAGAAACTGCATCCATTGACGCATGCTCAGAGAAGGAAAGTAGGATAAGAGCCAGTCCAAGCAGACAGACGGACACCTGAGATTCAAACACCTCACTGAATATCTCAAGAAAAGTTGTACTTTAACCTGCTGGACTGGTAACTCATTAAAAAAAAGAAACAACTCACCATAGGTGCTCTGTCCATCTAGAGCATTTAAATTGTTCCGCCCAGAGAAAACCAATCACGCTTATAGCATCTTGCTGCTTTGCTGACCCTAACTCATTTTGAGAGACAACCGAGGAATATGTGTGCAAGCCTGTCCGTGTGACTCCAAGCATCTAGGATGCCATTTATACACTGGCAGCAAAGCCAACAGGTATGTGCAGAATCCCCTTATCTGTCCTCTTGGTGACAGGAACCCAACATCAAACACTGGACTCACTGCCTCAACCTAATACCCTTTCAAATCAAATGTACTTCTGTCCTCTCAGCCACGATGAAAACCCTCTGTCATATTTGAGTCTGTCAAATTAAATTAAACTATTCTACCCATCCCTGCTAAGAAGAGAGAATGAACATCTTTGTTGCAGTTGAAATATTGAAAAGTGAAGCGACTTTATTGCATATAAAAGTTGAGAATTAATAACATCGCCAGGCAGATGGATTACATTTCTTATTCATTTTTTTCTTATTATTATTTCATGATAAGTATGTCTGTGTCTTTGGCCTCTCTGTGATCTTCACTACATCAGCGACACAGACAGGCAGAGGGGAGAATTCTGTGAAATGATCAAAAAGCAGGGATGAGGATGAAAACAGGGCAGGATCCGAAAGAAAGGTCTCAATTAAATCACTGTGACGTGTGTCTGATGTGACTCACAAAGCATGATTATGTCTAGCATAAGCCTTTAAAACTCAAATGTGAAGGACTCAGCCTTTGATGCTCCAGGTGTGTGATAGCATCAAGTGAGTCATCTGTCCCATTTCACTACGTTGTTATTAATATTATCTCTGTTGCCCTACATTGCCATTCCCCACCTGAATGTGCCCAGCCAAAATGTGTAAATCCTTTTTTTTTTTTTTTTAAATGTTCTACTGAGGAAAAAAACAAACATTTGCCATAGTTACTGGTGCATTGTGGGTCGGTTTACAAGCTGTTTCTTGTCATCCGAAATGGTCTCCCTGCACCAGGATATTTTATTTCCATTTTTCAATGTATAATTTCACTAACAGGCCTTGTATTCTAGTACCAGGATTATTTTAGTCAGCAGGTATACAAAACTGTATGCATGTTTTCTGGGATTTTTGTGGCAAATGGATTTTGTTTGTAAAATAAAACAAAGACAAAATGGCTAAAAAAAACATTTTTATTATGGTTTATATATTTTTTTTATAAAGAAAAACAGGTTAGATAAGAGACCCCTCATACATGTCCTGTGTTCTTTATAAGGACCAGTGTTAACATGAATACACGGGGGCCAGTTATTCATTAACCAGATATGACTTTTATGATTATTGCCTTTTATTCACAACACATTCACTTGTTATGACATTTCAAGTAACTATAGTCATGCATTAAAAAAAGGCTTTTGACCTGAATCATTAAAAACTGTTTTGTAATGATAACCTGCAAATAAATGTGAATTTTAATACAATTCGCAAGTAAAATTAGATCATGAAAATAACATTAGAATATTATTTGTAAAGCAAAGTGAAAGTATAGTTACAAAGATAATACTGTTTTCACAAGGTTAGATTCTTCCTTTGGAAGCTTTGACAAAGATTATAGTGCATAAATTAAGTCACAGCATCATCAGCAGCAGGAGACCTACATACAGTGTTAGTTATCTTGTTTGGTGTGGGAGCAGCTGGATACACAGCAGAGATCTTTATCAGGCGTGCTGAGACCAAAGGAAACGATCGCAGCGCTCCAGCATCGTCTGGATCATTGCTCTGAAACAGAAACCAAAATACTGTTTAAAAAGTACTGTAGCATCACCAAACAGTATTTGTATAGCTCTTTAAAGGTAAAGTAAAAACACTTGTTGAGCACTGACAGAACCAAAAAAAAAAAAAAAAAAGTATTTCTTAATGACATTGGAAAACAAACACTTGGATCTAGTTTCAGTAAAATAGAAAATTCCAGAGTAATTAAATCTAAAAATCATAAACTTTTCCTGACATGGAAAAATCTCATTACTGTTATCATAAGCAACAATAAAAAAAGATTGCATACATGTTTTGTTGATTTCATAATCCTTCTCAATATTTTTCTTCTAAAGGTTTGATACCCTGACCCACCTCTGTCTCTTCTCAGCGACTCTCAGCAGCTCACACACCAGTTTGGAGTGTGGCGAGAGGGCCAGCTGCACGCCACACTCTTCCAGGACGGCCATGGTGCGGTCGGGCCCGGCTGTCCGAGCCAGCATCAGGGTCAGGCTCTCTGGGCTGATCTTTCCACCGCAGTCTGCTGAGCCGTTTGCCAAGCCGCTGCCGTTCACCCCTGTGACCTGCTCAGAGTCCACCTCACTGCTGCTCCGCTGACATAACTGGATCAAGAGCTTCCACTCTTCTAGAGTCTGGGGCTCAACACCTGAAAGATGTCACGATGGATGGGTATTTCTTACCAATAATGATACGTGTGTTATATCAGTACCTGTAACTGGTACCTTATTTGTGTAAGTTATTCTACGCCATGAGAAGCCTTTAATCAGAATGGAGACATTAAGTTGACTACACTACCACCCCTCCTTATCCACAAGATTTTCACACAAATACATATTTAGGATGATTATTCCTTAGAGCACTTAAAGAACTTTGCAATTGAGTAATATTTGGGTAATGTTATTTTAAACATATTTCTGCTCTGTCAGTTATGCCACACTGAACAGGTTGAGGCTACTCTGGTACTAGCCAATCCCATTATTTCAAAACAAAGAATGCTATGATTGGCCTATAAATAGGGATGCACTTTTTTTTTTGCCACTGCTACTTTGCTTAACATTACTTAGTGCTTAGCTAATGGTGGATTAATGTTGGGTCTTTGTAAATAATAGAATAATAAAGAGTACAGTCTAGACTTGCTCTTTTTGTAGTGTGTTGAGATAACATTTGTTATGAGTCGGCGCAATACAAATAAATATTAACTGATCGGTTGAAACCCTGACAAACATCATCCATATAAAGGAACTCTGCTCGAGTATTACCGTCAGGTCCCTCGAGCAGACTGATGTCATCTAGTTGACAGATGGTTGAGAAGGCGTCTGTGCGATGCTGCAGCTCACGGCAGAGGTAGAGGTAGCCCATCCAGTAGCTGCACACACATTATAAAGAGGGTTATACATGAAAATGCAAATCCACAATTCCCTTTGATGCAACACAATTAGAATTACCCATGACTGCGGCAAGTCTCTGCCATCTTTTGCTTGGAGGAAAAGTCCGCAGGGAGACCAATGAGAAGAGACAGAAGGCGTCCATAACCCCAACTGAAACAATGGGAATGCCACCTGCAGCAGAGTCACACAAGTTCACAATTCATTCTGTTAACTTATTGTGGGCGGAATATCATCATCATCATCTTTATTGAGACTCAGGTGTCGCCCCATGTGCAGAGGCTGTAGTCCCCGTCACAGTGGCCTTGGGTCCGAATCCGACCTTTGCCCTTTGCTGCATGTCACCCCCCCCACTCTCTCCTCCCAACATTGCCCATCTCTCTTCAGCTGTCCTATTTAATAAAAAGGCAAAAATGGCTCAAAAATATCTTTAAAAATACTTTACCAGTGTCTCCAAGGGATGAGTGGTAACAGCATTAAAGTCTGAGTTTGAGAATCTTTCAGTCGCCAGATCAATTTGTACATTTCTCGTAAAACCCCGGAAAGTGTTGCCTGAGAAACAATTCACTTGCACAAGCCCATTAAAGTGTTTGTAATAGTATCCTCAGAATTATCAGAAGCAACTCTAAGCTTGCATTTTGATACTCGGCCAGCAGAGGGGCATTATAATGAGGAGTGCAATAAACTCTAAGGAGAATTGTCTTGACCTGGTGTGAACACATACAGTAGAGCATTTGCTTGTCAGGTACACCGTTTTACTTAGTTTCATAAAAAACGTTTGATGCTTGACATGGTCCAAAGCCTAAGCAGCAAGGACAAATCTTATCAGGACAGATTAATTTTTCCTTCTATAGACCGCAACAACCACTTTCAATCATAAATATTAAAACCAGTTCCATGCTTAGCTTTGAAGCCAAACTGATTGCCTGTGGTTCCAATGTATTCAGATAACCAATCTAAAAGAATCATCTCCTGGACCTTAGATACCACACTGAATAGTGCAATAGCCCGCTAATTATCTAAGCTCCCAACCATGCCAGCTTAGTTTTGTTTATTTCTTATTAGTCTCAAAATGAATACTAACTGAGGTTAAGTTTAAGCTATTGATTAAAAGAAAAATCAATGTTATTTTGCATGTTTCACCACGAACAGAACCAGACCTGGGCTGTCCATCCGGAGTCAGGGTGTCAGAGTGTTGAGGGGCGTCATGAGTTAATGCCAGCTCCAACCAATCCTGTCTCAGTGATTCTGGTTCAAGGAGGGACTGCAAAAATGACAACCTAGAGGAGGAGATGAGAGTCAAATTAATCGTGGAGAGCCCAATGTCTTTTTTGTCTTTTATTTGATAATTAAGCTGGAGATTTACCTGTGCTCCTCAGTCCGAGATTGGACCAGATTGTCCAGATATGCCAGGAAGTGACTCTGCTGAGCCATGGTCATTACATCAGCAGGAGTTATTGTAGGATAAAACTGGGAAAAGGAGCGCACAGCTGCCTCCCCGTGTTTCTCATACAGCCTGGATAACATCACAGTAAACTTACTTCACAAGGTCCTTTACAATTCTGTTTTGTATTTGATGAACATGTCAGAGACGTGTGTGTACAGACCTGTGTAAGTGAGCGAGGAGAGGAGGTGCACTCCAGGGCTGCAGCTCTCTCAGACTTCGTAGTGATCTCAGCAAATCCCCTCTCTGAATAACCTCCACCACCTTACTGGACTGAGTGAGATCTACAGAGAATGACAAACAGTCTATTTAGTTTGGTAAGTTCAAGTAAGTGGATGAACAGGATCAAGAAAGGTATCGCATGCATACAAATTCTATGAAACGGCAAGCTTTTTGTAACTTTAGATTGAACAACAAAGGTTCTTGGAGAGAAGACAGACGATGTGCAACTTTTATCATGAAAACCATTTAGGAGACGAGTATAATATCTTATTTCAATGTAAAAAAGTCTAGAAAGAAAGGTATTTGGCAAATTATTAATTTAACCACCTATCCATATTTTATCTTCACTTTATTTTAAGGTCAGGGATCTGACAAAAAACTGGTTTTAAGGAACCAACAGGTAATCATAATGTATAACATATATTTTAAGACTGAAAATGATATATTTAACATAGGAGATTTTTCATTGAAATGGATCCGATTTCATTTTAAAACGGGAAAAACTTTCCTCGATTTATCAGTGAAAATATAATCTAACTGTGAAATATATACAGTTTACTAACTTATTTGTAGACTTTCCTACTTTTTTTATTTAGTGCCAGTCAAATTGACCTTTTTTTCCTTGTTCAAATGATTCTTTTCTTTATCCAGAACTGAAATGAAGAAGTGATCTATTGATCTAAGGAGAAGCTTCTGACCTAGCATGGCCTCAGTGAAGGAGCTCTGCACCTCCGGCTTCTCCTGATAACACAGCAGACACATTCTCCTCACTCGCTCTTGGTCCAGCAAGAAGAAGTAGCGCCGCAGGAAAGTTGTGCATCCTAAACCTTGTTCATTCTCCTGCTTCCTAAAACAGCTCAGCTCTGTGTAGAGCGTTGCCAGCTGGGTAAGGTTCGCCAGGAGATCTGAAGGTATAGGCTCAGGAGTCACTACTCGCACCGGCTCTGGAAAAGTGGTCCCGTTTATAACCTCGACCCCATTCTCAGCAGATTCACACAGGTCCTCTTTTTCTCCGATCTGCGGTGGTTCTTCTGTCTTCTCCTCTGTAACGCTCTCTGTTGGTTCTGCTGGCATGCCGGAGGACTCTTCTTGTTGCTCTGAGCTCGTGTTCAGATAATCTCTAACCCACCTCTCCTCTCCTGCTCCATCAACGTTTGAGTCACCCACAGCAAGTAGCCCCAGCTCTACGGGTCCCAGTATTCTCTCCAGCACAGGCAGCCACTCCAGCAGAGATTCCCCCAGGCAGACTGGATCCAGGAGCACCCAGGGATCCTGGATTTGAGATCTTATGTTGGAAAAACACAAGATGCTAATTCAAATTCAGTTTACAGTGTTTAATATGGGAACATGTTGTTTGAACCTTACAAAATGTGGTGGAAAACTTACATAGCTCTCTCTGTTGCAGATCGGAGTTCCTGCATGTCAGCTTCTGCGTTCGGCATGTCATCATAAACTCTGTGACAACACATTTTATCAACTAGTTTCATCTGATTTACTTTAAGTCAATAACTTCTACTGTAGAAATAGTTCTCAGTAGAAATAGTTTTTTTTAGGTAGATCGGTACTTACTCATTCTCGATCTCCTCTGAATAGGGCGCTGTGGTAGCTGACATTTCAGCCTGTCCACCCTCTCTAAATTCAGGTCGTTGCCAGAGCTCCGAGTTCATCTGGAGGGTGTTGATCTTCTCTGTTGTCTTCTTAACAAAACTAGAAACACTAAGAAAAAAAAAAATCAAAATAAAAGTAAAGCAACCTTACAGGAGTGGATTGCATCAGATAGCTTTACAGTCTTAACAACCAGAGAGGCAGACAGAACCACAAACAGTGGAAAATGTGATGTTGAAAATGAAATGTCACATGCGTCTACACAGACGGTATGAATACTCAAAAATAGATGTGGGTCCTCCTTGTAAAGAGGAAGTAGGCTGTCTAAAAGCACAGCTGCGCTTGATTGATAAGTTATTATAAGGGGTTTCACTCCTATAAAAACAGAAATTGAAGAAGTACAATCCACACAGTGTGATTGGTGCTAAATCTCTGCAGGTTACAGTTTTGTGCATGTACTGTATATGACAAGAGCTGCTGTGATACATTCTACTATGGGACGCCTTGAGCGTGTCTTTCTGGTAGTTCTGTAGATGTTCACCTGTCTTTGACAGCCTGCAGTGCCATACGAGGGGGTTTGGGGCGGAATGAGAGGGGGAGGTGGAACTGCAGGCCTTGCTCAGATCGCTCAGCCTCCAAACGCTCACTGCTCTGTGGATCTGAATAAAGATGGGGGGCAAAAGCCAGAGGAAAAACACAGATGGATGGAGCACTGAGGTGGAATGATGAGCGGCAGATGACAAAGTGCAAGCAGATGGAGCAAAAGTGCCAGACACCACTATAGAGAAATGTAAAAATTAAATACAGCATAATGCACATCAAACAAAACATAATGGGGATGTGTGTGTGATACAATGGAACAGACAAGAAATTTAATATTAAAAGATTGTATTTGCAAAGCTTTAAAGGTAAATCAAGTTGTATGACAAAGCAACACTCCATTCAATGATTCAACTTTTATGTCTTCAAAGCAGCGGCAGAATCATTTTTATGCAAACATACGAGAGGTCAATAAAAACATGTATACACGTGATCATTATGAGAAACAGATCAAGTTAAAGAGTAAAATTATTGTCACATATATGTCTTGATAAATCTTTGGATGCTCGATAACTCAATTGTCTTTTTCGGCATTTTTCCACCAGGTTTCTTGTGTATTACTTTTTGTAACTTAAAAAGAGTACAAAATAATTTTACTCTCTTTTCACACTGAAATCAGGAAAGTCAGAGGAGGAATTTGATCTTGCTACACGCACACACATGCACACACAGTAAGAAACGAAGATGAAGAGTAACATTAATGAATATTAATAATTTAGCATTAATATGCTTCTTTCTGGTTTCATGTGATTGGATAAATGTCTGCTGGTCTAGAGTTTAAGTTTGACTGAGAACAGATAAAAAACACTATGTCCTTAAAAAGGGAAACATCATAAATAAAATACATTTGAATCTGTTCTCTACAGCAGAACCCTGTGTACATCATTTATGCATAAATAGATATCACAACTGGACCTTTAAGAATACTGTGTTTCTCTATTCATATTAATGAGAGAG